GAGAGAGAGAGAGAGATGGGATGGAGAGAGAGAGAGAGAGAGAGAACGAGAGAGAGAGAGAGAGAGAGAGAGAGGATGAGATAGAGACAGAGAGACAGAGAGGATGAGATAGAGAGAGACAGAGAGACAGAGAGGATGAGAGAGAGAGAGACAGAGAGGATGAGAGAGAGAGAGACAGAGAGGATGAGAGGATAAGAGAGAGAGAGACAGAGAGACAGAGAAGGATGAGATGAGAGACAAGAGGAGAGAGAGAAGACAGGAGACAGAGAGAGAGAAGAGAAGAAAGAGAGAAGAAAGGGATGAAGAGAGAGAGAGAAGAGAGAGAAAGGGGATGAGAGGAAGAGAGAGAGAGAAAGGGGATGAGAGGAAGAAAGAGAGAGAAAGGGGATGAGAGGAAGAGAGAGAGAAAGGGGATGAGAGGAGAGAGAGAGAGAAAGAGGATGAGAGGAGAGAGAGAGAGAAGAGGATGAGAGGAGAGAGAGAGAGAAGAGGAGAGAGAGAGAGAGAGAGAGATGAGAGAGAGAGAGAGAGATGAGAGAGAGAGAGAGAGAAGAGAGAGAGAGAGAGAGAGAGAGAGAGAGAGAGAGAGGATGAGAAAGAGAGAGAGAGAGAGAGAGGATATGAGAAAGAGAAGAGAGAGAAGGATGAGAAAGAGAGAGAGAGAGAGAGAGAGAGAGAGAGAGAGAGAGAGAGAGAGAGAGAGAAAGAGAGAGAGAGAGAGAGAGAGAGAGAGAGAGAGAGAGAGAGAGGATGAGAAAGAGAGAGAGAGAGAAAGAGAGAGAGAGGAGAGAAGAGAGAGAGAGAGAGAGAGAGAGAGAGAGAGAGAAGAGAGAGAGAAGAGAGAGAGAGAGGAGAGAGAGAGAGAGGATGAGAGAGACAGAAAGAGGATGAGAGAGACAGAAAGAGATGAGAGAGAGAGAGAGAGAGAGAGAGAGAGAGAGAGAGAGAGAGAGAGAGAGAGAAGAGAGAGAGAGAGAGAGAGAGAGAGAGAGAGAGAGAGAGGGAGAGGAGAGAGGAGAGGGAGAGAGAAGAGAGAGAGAGAGAGAGAGAGAGAGAGAGAGAAGAGAGAGAGAGAGAGAGAGAGAGAGAGAGAGAGAGGAGAGAGAGATGAAGAGAGAGAGAGAGATGAGAGAGAGAAAGAGGATGAGAGAGAGAAAGAGGATGAGAGAGAGGGTCCCTCATGGCAAGCCACCAGCCAGGAACTCGGCCTATCTCAAGCCCCTGACGACATGTTAGATTGATCTGCCCAAGCCACGACCTCCTAGGTCGTCCTACAGGCCTCCTCCACCCAGGGTTGTCTCTTGCAGGGACAACTAGATGGGCAGGATCATCCTGTGGGAAACGAGCCAGGTGGCCATATAGCCTGAGTTGGCGATTACGGATTGTGCAGATAACAGGTCCTGTGCCAGTCTCACGGTGCAACCGTTGGTTGGACACATGTGTCCCGCCAACAGTACCATGATCCGGCGCAAGACCTATTACAAAGGCTCAAGACGAGCTCCAAGGCACAGGATAATGTCCAGGTTTCACTACCGTATAGCAAAACTGGCATTATCAGGGCCTTGAAAACCCGTAGCTTGGTCCTTCTGCACAGGTACCGGCATCTCCAAATACTCTTGTTGAGAGAGTTCATGACCCCTGCTGCCAGGCCAATCCGTCTGCTGACAGCCCAGAGTTATGAACTACACTACCAAGGTATGTAAAGCTCTCTGTGACTTCAATGTCCTCGCCGCAAGCACGTACACTGAACAGGTTCTCCTAACAAGTCCCAAATCCTGGACCTTGGTCTTGGTCCAGGAGACCTCTAGACCCAAGGGCTTCGCTTCATTGCTAAATGCATCGAGAGCCGCCACTAGGGTTTCCAAAGACTCAGATAGAATGGCAACGTCATCAGCAAAGTCAAGGTCTGTAACCTTGATATTGCCCAGTGTTGCTCCACAATGACTTTGAACAGTAGCTCTGCCCAGTATCCAGTCCATGCAAGTGTTGAAAAGTTGGTGCAAGGACACAGCCTTGCCTCACTCCTGAACTAACAGGAAAGAAGCTCGACAGGCCCCCACCACACTTTACAGCACTTTCAGTACCAGTATACAGGCTTGCTATTAGTCCAATAATCCTTGTTGGAATCCCTCAGTCTCAGGATCTCCCAATGTGATACCCGATGCACCATATCGAACGCCTTCTTGAGCAGCCCATGCCCGAACTCATGACGGCACTCTACAATAACTCGCAGCGCAAGGATACGGTCTACTATGGACTTACCAGGAGTGAATCCGATTACTCCGGCCTCTGATGCATACTCAGAAAGGATGTGGGCAGAACCTTGCCTGGTACACTGGCAGTGTGATGCCGCGTGATTGCTGCAGTCCATCGGTCCCCTTCCCCTTCCAGAGAGGGATGACCACACCCCTCAACAGGTCAGGAGGAACGATACCGGACCGCCAAATGGTAGCCAGGACAGCATGCAACCTACGCCATAGGTTCACCACCAGCTTTTAACCCATCATCGACGGGTAAAAATTTTGGCAAGTTTACGTATGCACAGGCTTGTTGGCGCGCACCGGCAGTTTCCCCTGTTTGCGCCTGGCTCGATCGGTAGTTTGCGAGTGATATATAGCACCTAAAAGCTTTTATTTTCCTAAATTTATAAAAATATTAAAATTTTGAAGGTTTACCTTCACTTTAGGTGCCACTGCCTAAAATCTTTACCATATAAATGAAGCCGCTACTACCAGAGAAAAACAACCTCCGTCAGACGAGCCAGTAGCTCGGGAATGGGCATGACATGATGCCTCCGGCGTTTGGTCCATAACAGTCATGGCATGTCCATACATGCCACCCGGCGGCAATGGGTTAACAGTTCAGCTAGGATGCCACAAATACCTGCTGCTTTGCCACTCTTCAGCTTGGAGATTGCCACCCCTAACTTCAGTTGGGGGGGGCGATCCCCTGTCAGATGAGCTGCACAGCAAGCATCTGTGGCTTCCAGTGTCTCCTGTGAGATAAAATTCCGTATTGTCCTTGGGCGTTCACCAACTGACTCTTGGGCTGCACCAAGTGTTTCGCACTTGAAGGTGTCCCACAGAAGTACAGGGTCCATCAGACTGTCGAGCACTGTGAAACAACCAGAGATTGCCTCAGCAAACCCCCAAGCACACTCCTCCTCCTTCAGCCTGTCCAGATGAAGCACCCTAGGGTGATCATTGGACCGCTTGGGAGTTTGAAGTGGACCCGGAAGGTAGCCACAACCAATCTATGGTCAGTACCACAGAACTCTGCACTCCTATACACCCTGTAGTTCAGGAGGATTCTCCAACGAGTGCTAACGAGTATGTGGTCGATCTCCCTGGTTGCATTACCTGCATCGCTGTACCATGTCCAACAATGTGAATTTGGGTCCTGGTACCAGGTGCCAGAAATCCTCAATTTCTGGGACCTTGCAAAGTCCCAGTAAAGGAGGCTATTTTCTCTGCTGGTATCAGCTCCTGAACCATAAGGACCTACAGACATCTCATAACCAGCTCAATCACAGCCAGATACTGCACTGAAGTAAACCAGGACAAAATGAATATCCCGCTGGGGACAGCTGTCTGTCACAGAAGCAAGTTTGGTGTAGAACATCTCTTTCACGTCGAATTTACAAACATCTGTAGGAGCGTACACAGCAATAAGAGACATGAAGCCATACTAGCTTCAGTCTCATTACCATTTTTACGTTCATCGACTGGAGTAACCTCTACAACCGAGGGCTGGAGCCTACTGGAGATAGCTATGGCTACTCCCTGGAGATGGTGACCATTGCTGTGGCCTGACCAGTAATAGGTGTAGCCACTTACACTGATTGTGCCGCTGAAGGTCTTCTCAACTCCGAGAGAGCAGCCACCCCAACTCTCAGCCTCCCCAGTTCCCTCGATAGTAGAGGCAACCGATCGTCCTGAGGCAAAGAGCGGATGTTCCAAGCCTCCACCCTGACTTACCACCTGAGGTTCACCCTCGGGCAGTCAGGTGGACGCCATCTCTGCCACCCCACCAACACTACCCCTCATAAAAGGGGGCGGCAGGCTGCAGGACCCAACATCCACCTGTGGGGTTCCCTAGGGCTTTGCCCCACAAGCTTCATTCCAGGCTGGCGGCTGCCAGAACATTTAGAAGGTATAAATAACAAAAAGACAGAGAGAGAGAGAGGGGGAAGAAAAAAACAAACAAACTAAAATCTAACATGTAGAAGGTATAAGCAGGGAAAAAAAATTGATTCTCAAATTTGCAGAATATGGAAGTTAGTCTGACTTTTTTGTTTTGTACAAAACATTCAGGCTGAAACAGATATTCTGGCAGGCATGCAAATTGTGAAAAAGATATACATATTGAAAAACTTAAAATTGATGTACAGAAAGTGCTAAATAGGAGTTATATCTAAACAATTTTGTTTTATATTCCATCATAACTTTTTATCCATAAATCTGTAAAAGTCATTAACCCTGGGTTAAAAATTTGGCTAGTGGGTCCAATGAGCCGATGGCACGGGAATGGTCATGATGTGATCCCATCTGCTACTTGGTCCACAACAGCCATGGCATGTATAAACATCCCACCAGGCAGAAAGGGGTTAAATGGTCCCCTCATCGTATCCTACATGAATTTACCTTCATAGTAGAGTGTACCTAAACCTGTTCATGAAACTACTGCTGATCATAATAAAATAAACATGGATTACATGTTCAATTGACAAACATCAAACTTACCACAAGAATGAAAACATCTTATAACTCAAATATAAAATACATGATAAACTGTTTGAAGAAAACTCATAAATATGCAAAACAAACTGAAAATAAAAAGAATCAATTTAATTTCCTTTATTTCACTTTGGAGGCCTGATAGCAACACTAGATACCGGTACTGCCAATGGCATTCCAGGGCATTATAGCGCCCAGTTTGAGAACCACTGATCTATGGACTATTTCATAAAAAGGCATCTGCCAATACAGACTAAAATTCTCTTAAGTGTAACTTAACTAAACAGTCTTACCAATAGTCTGGTTAGTAACAGAGTGACTCCATCCATTAAAGCCAAAAATTTCATTGGCCAAAGATATGAGGCGCCAGCCTTCTATATATGCAATACGCTGGCCTCCCGCTCCTGATCGCTGGCTGATAAAAGACTGCCCAAGTTTCTGTCGCAATATATTCTGTATGGCCATCTGCTCCTCTCCAGTGAACTCAACCTGAAAAAAAGTTTAATAAAATTTTGAATTCTGATACTGCATAAAAAAATACCAAGCACTCTTTGATTGCACTATTATATTTAGGCACTACACTTAATGTTCATCAAAAATGCATTTTCTACTCTAAAATATGAACTTTATCTATATAACAGGGTAAACAACAATAACAATAGAAAAATTTCTTTCTTAAGGTACATATCAAAAAATATATATGCAATTTATGATGACAAGCTATAAATCTGTTAAATTGATTTCATTTGATCTGTCAATATCAATGTTATGCATAAAATGGGAGGGAGGACTGATACATAAAAAAGTTGACTTGTTTTAATCCATCATGGTCAGAAGATCATGCAATGCAAAAAGAAACTGAGTAATTGAATCATCTCCAACCAAATACTTTTAAATACCATTTTTCAGGAACTGAGGAGGAATGTATATGATTACAGATCATATATAAGCAAATTATATGTCCCCTATTATAGTTTTCCATCTTTTGGGCTATACATGGAAGCAAAAATTATACAAATAAATGAATAAGGAAATAAGTAACAGAGTCCCATATCATACTGATTACACTGGCTGAATGAGGTACATAAAAAATAAATAAATTAATTAAAAAGTTCTGTTTCTTGCAAGGCAATGCAAGATTGTAAGGTATTCATTATTATAGAATAATAATAATGAATACCTTACAATACACATTTAGTTTCTTTTTCTGCACAAGACTGAGGATTCCCTGGGCTTGGTGAGTATTCCATTTTCTACATATGATACTGTGGTTATCTGAGATTTGCTCCTTGCATTTAAACTGAGTCAGGTTTTTCCTATATTTTGTATGCAAACTTGTGTTCCATTCCCATGTGATTGCATTGTTATTTATGTCTCTTCTTTTTGTTTTTCATCATTTGAACAGACTTCAATGGGCTAGTCTTGCAACTGCTCTCATGATTCCTCCTTGTAATTCCATCAAAAGTGGGATATATGTAAAGAGAACATCAAAATCAAAGCTATATGGAATATTTTGATTTGGTATGGTAAAATTTCTTCACTAGCTTTCAGAACTGAAAAAATAGTAAGTGTCGGGAATTAATTTGAGATTACAAAATATAAACTTGTGGTGTGTATAAAAAGTGACTATGTATTAGCTTAGTATGACATACATGCCACATGAGATTGAATATGATAGCTCTGAAATTCAGATAAAATTGGATTCAACTATATCATACAAAATACTCCTTTAAGCTCTGGTTAATAGAATCAATCATGAAAACAATACTCCTTATGGAAGATATCTTTATTTTAAGAAGGAATTAGTGAACAATGACCACAGTGGCAAGTGCAAACTCAAATACCTATGTTAACATGTCATACGATTAATCTGCAAGATTGTCATTCTTGTTCAGACCTGTTTCAGGTTACAGGCAAATGGCGAATGATAATTTTTAAGTGGAAGTTTGTGTTATCTGATATCACATAATGAACATGACCGGAGCACACCCTCTAACTCCCATGGTCACTTATAGTATAGATATAAAACTATCGAGGGCATTTCAGAACCCAAAATTACTGAATGAGATTTCTGGGATTTCTGAAATCCCAAATTTTTTTTAATGGTATTTCTAGATTTCCAGGCAGATTTGTCAGGGATATCTGGAGTTTGAGGGATTTCCTGGGGATTTCCAAAGTTTTCAAATGCATTTAAAAGCATCAAATCATATCAAATGTTTAAAAAGGTTCCACATGAAATGCACTACTGTACCCTAAATCATGACTGAAACACCTTCAGGCAAAAAATTCTCAATGGATTAACTATTTGAGTATTGTTCAGACCAACTCACTTCCAAAAGTAGCCACAATTACTTGGAAATTTGAGCATTTTAAAAGGAGCAATCCTGTTTCTGAAAATTTGCTGGAATAGACATTAAATCAGCCTTTCTAACCCTGGGGTCACCAAGACCTCAAAATTTCAGATGTAGTCAAATTCTGTTTTTAAATGTTTTCAGATATGTAGTGACATATTGATGAGAGCTAATGGCTAAATATTGCGTGATTTTTACACAATAATTCAAAAAGCAGTTAAAAAATGATAATAATCACTTAATTCTGATGAAGCTTGAACTAAAGAAAATATAATTGTAACTGTGGATTTTGATTATTGATTTATTTATATGTTTACTGAATAATATAAATATGATTATATACTATCATAAAATAGAACAGGCTAGGGTTGCAGTCATGTCTGGAGGCGCATGATTGGAGTAGCCTGTAAAAAAAGTTTGGAACCACTGCTACATTCATAACATCCTGTGCTGCTATTTTATTGATATGATGCTTTACCAAGACAGAATTTAAGCCTTACTGTAAGCAAAATTGGTTCTCCAGCATTTTTTGCCTTATTTTGATAAATGCCTGCTTTGCCCAAAGGATTCCATAGTACTCATTATTACTGATAAATCACTGTGTAACCAACAGGCCAATCAAATCACCTGAAACTTGGCATACAGGATTGAGGACATAACATAGCATTCTGATCTTCAAATGCGGAGGTATTTGTCGAAGTTTATGAAACTTTTTTACTGATTTTAAAGATATCTCAGGTCCTATTATTAAGATTATGTAAAAGATTGCTGTGCCTGGAACATTTACGAGAGTTTAGGATTCTTGGGACTTCATGGAGATTTTAGGATTTGCAAAGAATTTCTTGAGCATTTCATGATTTCCTAAAAAATTATGAAGGATTTCCAGATTAGGTTAGGCTAGGCTTGGTTAGGGTATGCTATGCTAGACTTAGTTAAGCCAAGTTAGGCTAGGTTAGGTTAAGTTGGGCTAGTTTTTCTTAGGTTAGGCTAGGCTGAGTTAGGTATGGTTAGGCTAGGTAAGGGTAGGCTTGGTGAGGTTAGGGCAAAATAGGCTAGACTAGGTTAGGTTAGGAATCCCGAATACGGCAGTACCACACTTATTCCCTGGAAATAATGTTTATATGTGCATGAGCATGTGTGCCATAACCTAACTTCGAGAAATTGGGATATGGATGGTGAACTTGTATCCTTGGCCTACAATTTTTTTCTTAGTTGGATATTTGCACAATTATCCCAGAAAGACAGCACATTCTTTCCTTTCTTCCCTTTCCTTAATGGGGAAATATCTTATTTTGATTCCCCCTTTTCTACTTCTCATCGATCTGGTAGCAAGTTACAAATGACTTTTCATACACAGATAGTGTCAGTAAACACATAGATGCATACTCCTTCTGTTTTTTCTCATTATTGACTACAGAAGAGAAACCATCTCAAAAATTTTAATATAAAAAAATATATATCTGTAGGGATGTTACTCAATAATTTTGACCAATAATGTACATGATGTTGTTAATAACAATGATGAAAAATAATACTGATAATATTGATATTTCAGATGATAATGATAATAACAACAGTAATAAACTTGATAATTATATTAATAGATATAATAATAGTAATAATGACAATTATAATAACAACAATCACAATATAATAATGAAAACAACAACAGTAATAATAATAATAATAATAATAATAATAATAATAATAATAATTAAAAGTAACAATAATATTAATAATAATAAAAGTAATAATTTTAAAAATAAAATAATAATAATAATAATAATAATAATAACAATAACAATAACAATAACAATAACAATAACAATAATAATAACAATAACAATAATAATAATAATAATAATAATAATAATAATAATAATAATAATAATAATAATAATAATAAAACTAGGAGCACTCAAGAGTCTACATACCAGCTTGACAGAGGTGATGATGATTATTGATGATGATGATTATTGATGATGATGATGATGATTATTGATGATGATGATGATGATTATTGATGATGATTATTGATGATGATGATGATGATGATTATTGATGATGATGATGATGATGATTGATGATGATGATGATGATGATTATTGATGATGATGATGATTATTATTATTGATGATGATGATGATGATTATTGATGATGATGATGATGATTGATGATGATTATTGATGATGATGATGATTATTGATGATGATTATTGATGATGATGATGATGATGATGATGATGATGATGATGAAAATAAAATTAATAATATTAATATTACTACTAATATTAATAATGATAATAATAATATCAATAATGATAATGATAATGATAATAATAATAATGCAATAAACTATATTAATGATAATATGACAATATGATAACTATGACAATAATAATGATAATGGTAATTTTAAAAAATAATAACAATAATGATCACAACAATAAGAACAGAAATAATATCATAATCATCATCATCATCATTTTAATTTTGAAAATATTAACAATAATATATATCAAACTAAAAAATGGGCTACGGATAAGCATCCATCACCACATTCCCCCTAAAAAAAAAGTAATATTTCAGATCTGTAAGACCAATTTATCCTCTTCAGCTCTGGGCAGTCTTTGCCCTACAGTAAAGTATAACTACAAGAGATCCGAATCAAATCTTTAAAAACTTCCAAAGTTGGGCCTATCTGAACTTACCTCTATCATTTATTATTGAATGTGACTACTGGGACAGCAGAAAAGCCCCCAACTGGAGTTCTGCACGTGTGGTGAAACAAACATGATGGTGGCATCTTGATTAGGTTAGTTTTGGCTAGATTAGGGTAGGTTCGTACTTATTACCCAGAAATGATATTTATACGCACATATCCATATGTGTGCTGTACGCCTAACCATGAGAAATTGGATATGGCTGCCGTACATGTATCCTCGCCTTTTTGATTTGATGTTTGAGTTATAGATGTTATGACAATATTACCTTTGAGATGAAATCCAGCCCCTGATTCCAATCTCACTTCCCCTCATGAAATCTCATTATTCCTCCACTGAACTCCTTCTCCAGTGTTTTGTATTGAGAATTTTCCTTTGATCTCATTTTCCCTTTTCAGATCCCATCATTGTATCC